CCCAAGGTAATTTATAGATTCAATGCTATCCCATCAAGCTACCATTGACTTTCTTCATAGAATTAGAAAAAATTACTTTTTAAAGTCAATATGGAAACTAAAAAACAGCCTGCCATACGCCAACACAATCCTAAGCACAAGAAACAAAACTGGAGGCATCACGCTACCCTGACTTCAAACTATACTACAAAAGGCTACAGTATACCAAAACAGCAATGGTAACTGGTTGCCCAAACCAGATATATATCGACCAATGGAAAACAGAATGGAGGCCTCAAGGAAATAACACCACCAACATCCCAACCTTCTGAATCTTTGACAAACCTGACAAAAAACAAGAAAAAGGGGGGAAAAGATTCCCTATTTGTAAATGGTGTTGGGAAAAAACCTGGCTAAGCCATATGTAGAAAAGCTGAAAATTGGGATTCCTTCCCTACACCTTATAGAAAAAAATTAACTTCAAGATGTATTAAAAGACTTAAATTAAAAGACCCGAAAACCATAAAAACCCTTGAGAAAACCTAGCAATAACCATTCAGGAACACAGGCAATGGGCCAAAAGACTTCATGACTAAAAACACACAAGCAATGGCAACAAAAAGCCCAAATTGACCAAATGTGATCTAGATTTAGACCCAAAAGAAGCCTTCTGCACAGCAAAAAAAGAAACTATCATCCAGACTGAAACCAGGCAACCCCTACACAAATGGGAGAACCATTTTTGCAATCAATCCACCGGAAAAGGGCTAATATCCAGAATCTACAAGAAAGTCCAAAACAAATTTACTGAAAAAAACAAACCAAAATTCCAAAGTGGGGAAAAGGATACTGAAACAGAACACTTCTCCAAAAGAAAGACATTTATTGCACAAAACCCGACATATGAAATAATGCTCATCATCACTGGTCCATCACAAAAGAAATGCAAATCAAAACCACAATGAGATACCATCCTCATGCCAAGTTAGAATGGCGATCATTTAAAAAGTCCAGGAAACAAACCAGATGCTTGGAGGGGAATGTGTGAGAAAAATAGGAACGCTTTACTTTCATTGGTGGAGTGTAAATAGATCAACCATTGGGTGAAAGAACAATGTGGCAAATTCCTCAAGGAATCTAGGACCTAGAAAATACCAATTTGACCCAGCGATTCCCATTACTGGGGTTATATACCCAAAAGGAATTATAAATCAAATGGGTACTAATAAAAGACACATGCACACATATTGTTTATTTGCAGCACTATTCAAACAATAGCAAAAGACTTGGAAACCAACCCAAATGTCCATCAATGATAGACTGGTAAAGAAAGAATGTGGCAACATACAACACCATGGAATACTATGCAGCCATAAAAAAATGGATGAGTTTGCATGTTCCTTTTGCAGGGACATGGATGAAGCTGGAAACTATCATTCTCAGCAAACTATCACAAGGACAGAAAACCAAACAGCGTATATTCTCACTCATAAGTAGGAATTGAACAATGAGAACACACGGACGCAGGGAACATCACACACCAGGGCCTGTCAGGGGGTGGGGGGCTGGGGAAGGGATAGCATTAGGAGAAATACCTAATGGAAATGACAAGTTGATGGGTGCAGCAAACCAACAGGGCACATGTATACCTATGTAACAAACCTGCACATTGTGCACATATACCCTAGAACTTAAAGTATAATAAAAAAGATTGACACAAATTTCTCTTTTAAAAAAGTTTTCTTTAAAGACAGGAAAAAAGGGATAGATGAATCAGTTCAGCAAATAGTGAAAATTATTTAACCTAAGATTGATATACGGGTGGTCATGACACTAAGTCTC